TTAAAGTCAATGTCTGATAAAGCCTGTGAGGCTGTTCCTTTTCTCTGTTGATTTCTCTCAGTTTTTTATTTTGTGTTCATGTCTCCTGGTGTATGAAGTAATTTGCAATTAAACACAAAGCATTTTGTATAAAAAATTGTTGAGATAATTTGCGGCTCTGAATGTTTTGAAGTCAGTTGGGTCTGGAATGACTTGCCTATGCAGATGTTGGGGTGATTAGAGTCTGAGTTTCAGTACTTGTGAGGCTGTTATCCCAAGTATAGCTCTCTGAGCACCCCAGTGGAAAGCCTGTGCTCTTTACCAGCACCTCTTTTCTTTGGCGAGTCCTTCACTCCAATTTTGTCCCTGCCCACTGCAAGACGTGCAAAAGTTTCTTAGCTTCTCAGCATCTTTCTGAGAAACAGAAAATGCCTTGAGGAGAAAAATAAAGTCATGGACATATGTCAGACTTACCTCACTTCTCACTTCTTTTTAACTTTCCTTTTTTCCCCAAGATATTGGCTCATGAAGTCCTTGCTACTTTGGTTTGATGTCTACACACACACACATACACACACACACACACACACACAGTGATTTAAAATTGTTAATTTTTCTCTGTGTGAGTGTTAATTTGCAACATACTATTCCACCACCATCAATGGAGGTAGAAATCTTTCAAAACCTGCTTTCCACATAACAAATAAATAACTCCACCTAACTTTATGGTAGGCAACCTGGTATGCTTCTGAGAACCAGTTCTGTTAACACGCAGATCATGCTTATGATTTCAGCAAGTGCATCAATTTAAACTAAAAGTTTAAGATGTTTAATTTCTTTTTCCTCATTTTATTATTTCTCTTATTTGTTCTATAGTCATCTTAATCTGTGTAAGAAATACTGAAGCTGTCCAAAAGTTCAAATTTGAACTCAATGCTGAATTTAAAAGTGTTGCCCAAAAAACATAAGGTAAACATGCAAGGATCGTCACTGTTAAGCTGTTATGCAATATGACCTGGTCCCCAGGCTACATAATTTGAGTCATTCTTTACATTTCAAGTTCTGCCAGCACTTAGAGAAGTGGTGTTCTGTGGACTCTTACTTTTTCCTGACTTTGTGATGTTCTCTTTTGTCAATGTGACCAACCAAGTTTGAATCAGAGCTAATGGCATCTTTAGAATGACATGTATGGTAGCTCAGACCTGTACCCTTTAAAACTCAGCTCCAGTAAATGGAGATTCTGAGCATCTTAACATGTTGGAAATTGAACTGCATTCTGCATTAAAGGCATTACACAAACTGTAGGACTCAGTGTTAAGATAGAGATGAGGAGAGTCTAATGGGCCATTCTGAAAGAACTACCCATTAAACGGTAAAGTACAGTATGTTTTAAAGTGACAAATCCAAGAGCTGAAAATGACTCTTTGATCTTTAAAAGGCTCATAAACGGTGGCAGTGTACTCTCAGACCTGTATTTATGTATTCAAATATTGGGAGGAAATCCAAGTGGAGTCTCAAGACTGCGAGACTTTGCAATTTAGACAAAAAGAGGCCAGAGAGGAGGGCAATTAAATCTAACTTTTTACAGCATAAAGCAAGCTTTCTTTCCTCCTTATTAATCAATGAACTAGAATCTTGGTAAGAGCTTGCTTTTTAAGTGGGGTTTGAGCCAATCTTTACACAGATGTGAGGTATTTGTGAAGAAAGAGAGAGACAATTGAAACCAAAAGATACACTGTTTCATTTTTGAATTAAATTTGTGGTTGGTGCCATCCTCTTTTACTTTGATGAAGGTTTTCTAACCATCTCCTACACCTCAGTGCACACACACACATATCCCCATTCCCTGGTATTGAAACCATTAACCACATCTGGGGGGCTAATCTATGGACAACATGCCTGTAGCCTCTGTTTCATGGAACAACCTGAGAGGGATCATAAACAACATCCTCAAAGTAAGGGCTTTGAGGATGGTGGTTGTTAAGGAACATTCAAAGAAAGTCAGATCACCATGTGACTTACACTGATGAATACTTTCAGCCTCAATGGCACGTTGGTGTTTTCCTCTGACCCAAATGGTGCAACTGAAATGAATTCTACCTTGCGTACAAGAACCACAGGCACTGGAATGTGGAATCCGAAACTTTTCTACCTGGTTCCCCTGTTGACCACAGGTATTTAATGGTCACATTACAGATTAGTTTATGGGATTCCAAGAGGACTATGGACCAGAGCAAACTCAGTTGATCCAAAATTGAGTTTTGATCGTGTTAGCAGTCTACTTGAACCAAATTTTGTGGATAATGACAAAATAAGTATGCATACTTTAACCATCTAAGCTAATAAATAGAACAACTGAATCCCAGAATTCCCCCGTCCCTCCCTATGCTACCAAATGTAACCAAGGATCCTAAATTTTGTGTTAATCATTTCCCTACTTTTTTTTTAATATCTACATATGCTCCCTAAAAAATACCTTATGTAGTTTTGCTTGCTTTTGAACTTTATATAAATAGAATCATACCCTATGTACTGTTCTAATTTTTTCACTATAACTTATCTTGCTCTATGTAATGGTAGTCCATTCCTTTTTTTTTTTTTTTTTTTTTTTTTTTTTTTGAGAGTTTCACTCTTGTCACCCAGGCTGCAGTGCAATGGTGTGATCTCGACTCGCTGCTGCCTCTGCCTCTCGGTTTTAGTGATTCTCCTGCCTCAGCCTCCTGAGTAGCTGGGATTACAGACACCCACCACCATGCTCGGCTAATTTTTGTATTTTTAGTAGAGACGGGGTTTCACCATATTGGTCAGGCTGGTCTGGAACTCCTGACTTCAGGTGATCCACCTGCCTTGGCCTCCCGAAGTGCTGGGATTTCAGGCGTGAGCCAATGCGCCCAGCCCATTTCTTTATATCTCTATATACTGTTCCACTGCAAGAATGTAACACAACTCATTATCTATTCTTCTGTTGTGGACATTTGGGTTGTTTCCAGGTTTTGCTATTACAATAAGTGCTGCTGTAAGCATCTGCATACATCTTTGGGTACACATGAAAGGAGTTTGTGAAGTATTTTTTTAGTAGTGGAAAATACTACCAGAAATAGTCTTAGGAATAAACTAGGACTTATTATAAGTACGTGTTCAGTTTTTTTTAGGAGTCACGTCAGATTATTTTTCCAATTGGTAATATCCATTTATACTCCCACCTGCAAAGTGTGAAAGTTGTCATTGCTCTTCATCCTCTCTGACATTTTCTATTGTCTTCCTTTTTATTTTTTCCTTTTATTTCAGCAGCTAAATGAGATGGATATCTAAGAATCTGTATCTTGCATGTGTGGAAGCTGAGACTTGGAGATTTCAAGTCATTACAGAGCATAGGTTCTGGAAATGTGACATGTGTCAGGGAGCATATCACTCAAAACCGATTCCTAGAAAACCTTCCTAATGATTGATCACCTACTGGCTAATTCTCTTAAAATTCACCTCTTTGAAAATTTCACGTTTGTAAGCTCTTCATGTAAAACTAAACACAAGGTAACACAATTGATTAAAACTAACTAAAAAAAAATTAACTAAATTTTGAGAAAAGTATCCTTAGAAAATCCGGCTTAAAAGTCTCCCATTTATTCACAAGGAAAAATGACACTTGCTATGTTCTAAATGTGTGCATACCCTCTAAACTCATATACTGAGATCCTAACCTCCAAAGTGAGCATCAGGAGGTGAGGCATTTGGGAGGTGATTAGGTCATGAGAGTAGAGGCCTCAAGAATGGGGTTAGTAACCTTATAAATGAGGCCCAAGGGAACTCTTTCACCCTCTGCACCATGTGAAGACAAAGCAAGAAGTCCACTGTTTATAACTCAAACAGCATCCTCACCAGAACCCAGCCATGTTGCCGTTCTGATCTTGAACTTCCCAACCTCCAGAACTGAGGGAAAAAATTCCTATCATTTATAAGCTGCCCAGTCTATTATATTTTGTTGTGACAGTCCCAATGGACTAAGACAACACCAAAATATTTTTTTAAAATTCATTATCTACAAAACACTGCAAATGTGATGACTGCTTATCAAAGATTTAAAAAAGAGTTAGAGATGCCCTTAGGTGTATTGAATATTTAAAGAAGCAAGATGGCAAATGAAAATGGCACATGGAAAATACCGCAAAAACCTCTAAAGTTGGATAAAATTTTAAGGGCATTTGTCAGGCACATGGATCACAGTCAAAGTGGTTTCAAACAAATCCACCTAGACATTTTAGGATTGTTAGAAACTTGGGGCAGAGTTGGGGATGCACTAGCAGGGGAAGCACCTTACTGTAGATGCTAGTGCTACCCTCACACCTCCCCTCGCTGCTTCATTGTTTTGTAGTCCTTCAACACCCTGAAGGGCTCTTAAGAATCTGGAAGGAATCAGAATCTGAAAGAAGATAAAGCACTTTTACCCTGGGTCAGTGCTTCTGCCAAAGATGACTCAGAAATCATTTATGTGTATGTCAGTTAAAATTAGGTTTGTTTGCAGTGACAGAGAACCCCACATTTGAATGGTTTATGTGAGAGATAGATGTTTAATTTCTTTCATGGAAGATGAATCCAGACACAAGCAATCCAGGGTTGGGATGGGGCCTCCACAAAGACATTGGGCCAGGCTCCTCCTAACACCATCCACCCTTCTAGGGATGTGGTGCCCTTTCTCTAATCATCACCTCTTCATTTCAGGCAGTAGGGCTGGGGCAGAGATGGAGAATGGGAAAAGCATGTAAACTTTAAAGAAAATTTTCTGGAAGCTGACATACCCACTTTTATTTAGATAACATTGACCAGAAATTAGTCACATGGGATGCCAAGCTGTGAGGCGGCTGGGTGGTGTGGTCTTTCGTCCAGGCAGTCATGTCCCCAAGGGAACCTATAACTAAGGAAAACAGATATTGGGGTAGGCAGCTAGTAATTTTTGCCTCTCTAAAGTTCATTAATGGAAGAAAGGTACAAGTATTTCAGCTATATAAATCCTATTGCTTTTGTAGGTTTTAACATGCAAGGCATTCTGTTTGACAATCAAACTCAAGGCACACATAGGCTTAGTGAAGTCCTCCCTCCATTCTTCACTGCCAGGTGATATAGTGAGAAGATGGAGCCAACACTCAGCCCACTGCCCACCAGCAGTAAGGCCAAAGGAAAAGGACAATCCTCACCTATCAACATGGGCGATGAAACCATGGAGAAGCAAGTTCAAGGGTCTTCTGGCTTTGCAAAGGGTTGGATCTGGATCACTGAATACGTGTTGGAAAATGGAATAGTGCTTTCCCGTTAAGTCCATGTATATGGCTCTCATGCAGCATTCCTGACAAGGGCAGACCAGTTTTTCTTCAGCTACCATAGTTTCCACCTGGGTGGATTCTTCATAGTTGGACCTGGAAGAAATCTTGAAGAGCATTAAGCGCAGGGTTCCCTTCTGCCCCACTATCAGACTGGGGTTCCTAGATAAACTTGCCCCTCTCCAAATTTTCATCTCAGAGAATGGCCATTTCATGCTCCTAGTTGTTTAGGCCCCAAACCGTATTTTTCTTTTTCTTTTTTTTTTTTTTTTTGAGACGGAGTCTCGCTCTGTCGCCAAGGCTGGAGTGCAGTGGCCGGATCTCAGCTCACTGCAAGCTCCGCCTCCCGGGTTCCCGCCATTCTCCTGCCTCAGCCTCCCGGGTAGCTGGGACTACAGGCGCCCGCCACCTCGCCCGGCTAGTTTTTTTTTTTTTTTGTCTTTTTTGGTAGAGACGGGGTTTCACCGTGTTAGCCAGGATGGTCTTGATCTCCTGACCTTGTGACCCGCCTGTCTCGGCCTCCCAAAGTGCTGGGATTACAGGCTTGAGCCACCGCGCCCGGCCCGAAACTGTATTTTTCTAACGCACCATATGATATGGTCTGGATTTGTATCCCCGCCCAAATCTTATATGTTGCATCGTAATCACCAGTGTTGGAGGAGGGGCCTGATGGAAGGTGACTGGATCACGGGGGCAGATTTCCCCCTTGCTGTTCTCGTGATAGTGAGTTCTCATGAGATCTGCTTTTTTGTTGTTGTTGTTGTTTGTTTTGAGACAGCATCTCACTCTGTCATCCAGGCTGGAGTGCAGTGTGGCATGATAGCTCACTGTGACCTCAACCTCCTTGGCTCCAGTGATCCTCCCACCTCAGCCTCCCAAGTGGCTGGGCCCGCAGGCATCTGCCACCATGACTGGCTAACTTATTTTTGCATTTTTTTTTTGTAGAGACGAGTTTTGCCATGTTGCCAGGCTGAGATCTTGTTGTTTAAAAGTGTGTGGCACCTCCTCCTTTTCCTCTTCCCCCTTCTCCCAGCATGTAAGACGTGCCTACTTCCTCTTTGCCTTCGGGCATGACTGTAAGTTTTCTGAGGTCTCCCTAGCCATGCTTCCTGTGTAGCCTGCAGAACTGTGAGTCAATAAAACCTATTTTCTTTATAAATTACCCAGGCTCAGGTAGTTCTTTACAGAAATGTGAGAATGGACGAATACACCATATCTAATCCATCAGCACATCCTGTTGGATCTACTTTCAGAATAGATTCAGAATCCAACCACTTCTTACCTCTGCCACTGCAATAATCTCCTATATGGAGGTCCCAGTGGGTGAATGGGAACTGAAACCCAACCCTGCTCCACTGGCTGAGCTGTGTACCTTTCTCCAAAGCTGCATCTATCTGGAAGAAGGGGCACCCTTTTCTATGTATACCAAGATGCCCTCTACAGGCATCTAGCAACTTCTCAGTAGTTCGTGTTACCTCTCTGCTGAAAACCCTCTCACTCAGAAGAAATGCCAAAATCTCACAATGGCAGCTCTGTAGGACTTGGCCCAGGTACCTCTGTGATGCCATGTCCTTCAGCCACACTGGCCTTCCAGCAAGCTCTGCCTTTACACTCATTATTCCTTTTGCCTAAATTGGCTAACTTTCCCACATCCTTCCATTTTCTTCACAGGAGGCCCTTCCCTGGATTGTAGCTCCCCAACCCTGGTGTGCCCATCTCTTTGGCCCTCCATAGCCACATCCTCTCTACTGTGAGTAAAATTGTGTCCCCTAAAAGTTATGTTCAAGACTTAACTCCTAAGACTTGTGGATGTGACCTTATTTGGAAATAGGGTGTTTCCAGATATAATCAAGATGAATCAAGATGGATTCACGTGGGCCTAATCCAAGGACTGGCATCCTGGTAAGAACAGAGAAATTTGGACATAGAGTCCCCCAGGGGAGAATGCCTTAAGGAAGGAGGTGACAATAGGAGTGATGCATCGAGGCAAGCATCCTAGTCCATTTGCGTTAATAAGAAAATACCTGAGAGTGGGCAATTTATAAACAATAGAAATGTATTTTCTCACAGATCTGAAGGCTGGGATGTCCAAGGCACTTGAGGGTTTGGTGTCTAACGAGAGCTCGGTCTTTGTTTCCAAGATGATGCCTTGTTGCTACCAGAGAGCACAGATGCTGTGCCTTACATGGTGGAAGGGACAAAAGGGTAAAAATGAGTCTGGCTAGTTCCCTCCAGTCCTTTGTAAGACACCAATCCCATTCATGAGGGCTCTACCCTCATGACCTAACCACCTCCTAAAGGCCCCACTTCTGCCAACACTGCCACATCAGTGATTACGTTTCAACATAGGAATTTTGGGGGACACATTTAGACCATAGCATCAAGGAACACAAAGGATTGCAGAATCCACCAGAAATGGAGACGGAGAAAGACCTGGAACAAATTCTCCCTCAGAGCCTTCAGAAGGAATCCACCCTGCTGGCACCCTGATCTTAGACTTCTGGCCTCCGTAACCGTGAGACAATACATTTCTGTTTTTTTAAGCCACCAAGTTTGTAGTTCTTTGTTATAGTAGCTCTAGAGGAAACAATTACCCCATCCACCATCCAATATGTTACTTATTAATTTGCTTAGGGTCTGCCTCGCCACTGGGAGAGGATTCTGTCTGTGTTTATTGCCACGTCTCCTGTGGCTGGCATGGGGCCTGGCACAGAGTAGATGCCACAAATACTTCCTGGAAAAATGAATAAAAGTTCACTCAGCTGAACCTGGTATGTGGGTCTCCCAGCACCTCCTGGGGCCATTTCGGCTGCATCCTCCACCGCTCCCAACTACAGTGGGTGACTGACTCTTCAGTAACAGAGGAGCTGCACACAGTTGGCGAAACACATCTCATGTGGATGTCTGAATCTAGTGCCTGCCCAGGCTGCTAGATACCTGAGACTGTGATATGGTTTGGCTGTAATCCCACCCAATTCTCATCTTGAATTGTAGCTCCCATAATTCCCACATGTTGTGGGAGGAACCTGGTGGGAGATAACTGAATCATGGGGGCGGTTTCCCCCATACTGTCCTTGTGGTAGTGAATAAGTCTCACAAGATCTGATGGTTTTATAAGGGGTTTCCCCTTTCACTTGACTTTCATTTTCTCCCTTGCCGCCGCCATGTAGGAAGTGCCTTTAGCCTTCTGCCATGATTGTGAGGCCTCCCCAGCCATGTACAGCTGTGAGTCCATTCAACCTCTTTTTCTTTATAAATTACCCAGGCTCGGGTATGTCTTTGTCAGCAGCATAAAAACAGACTAATACAGACTGGTGTCTAGAAACTCACAGATCTTATGCTATTCTTGCTGCCAGAGATGTGGTTCTTTTCTCTGGAACTAGAACATAGGAAGAGTGTGAGTTATTCTAGGGCACGATCTGGGTCTTATTCACTTTGGAATCCCCAGTAATAGGCAGATAGAAAGCACAGGACAGAGAGTTGTTGAACGAATTAGGGATAATAATGGCTTATATTTTTTAGAATATTCATAAGGTAGCAGGCACTGTTCAAAGAACTTGGCGTGCTTCGATGCATGTCAACCTCACAATAAACCTATTATCTCAGTTTTACAGACTGGGAAAGTGAGGCGCAGAGGTATTTTGCAATGCGCCCACAGAACCCCAGCGAGCCCGTGGTGGAGTTACAACTATGCCTCAGGGAGCATTCTCAGGCAGCATTCTCTTGTGCTTTACCGTCTCACAGATGATAAGGTTTCATTCAAGGACTTACAACAGCAACCTGGAGGCAGCATTCTCAGTGGCTGGTAGATGCCATTTGTACTGAGCAGGACAATTAAGCCCAATTCTGGAAAAATTCTGCTTTCTCTATTCAATGCATTTTATAAATGTCTTCACTCAGCAAATTTACCCTACTAATTATATTTTGCTTTGTGACCATGGTATGTCATTCGCATTCCTTCAGCACATGCTGACTGATGGGGAAGAGATGTTGGGTGACCCAGGCAAGCCAAACAGGATTAAAGCCTGCTGTCTCACCAGGTGGATAATCCACTTTGGATGCTTGAGAGGGGAGTGTTGAGATCACGCCCCTTCCTGTGGGACATTTTTCTGGGAAATAAAATCAGTGACAAACACGACGCTTGAACACTCACATTGACTCTAGGGTGCCGGCTGAGCTCATCTGGTGCAGGGGAGTAATGCAGAGGTGAGGCCTGGGTCAGCGCCAGGCACAGGAAGGGGATTCAGGATGCATCACAGTCCATGCCTCTTAGGAGAAAATCTGGACCTTCTCCATGGCTGTGTCTCTATTAATTTGCTAAGGCTGCCCAAACAAAGCACCACACACGGGCGGCTTACATAACGGGAATTTATTCTCGGTTCTGGAGGTCGGCAGCCTGAGATCAAGGTGTCAGTACAGCTGGTTCCTTCTGAGGACTGTGCAGGAGAATCTGTTCCAGGCCTCTCCCTGAACTTCTGGGGGTCGCTGGCCATATTTGGCATTCCTTGGCTTATAGAAGCAATACCCCAATTTCTGCATTCATCTGCATGTGACATTCTGCCTGTATGCATGCTTCTGTGTTCAAATTTTTCGTTTTTATAAGGATACCAGTCATGTTGGAGGTCTACCCTAATCCTTGATGACCTCATCTTAACTAATTGTATCTGCAACAAACCTATTTCCAAATTAGGTCACATTCTGAGGTCCTGGGGGTTAGGACTTTTTTTTTTTTTTTTTTTTTTTTGAGACGGAGTCTTGCTCTGCCGCCCAGGCTGGAGTGCAGTGGCCAGATCTCGGCTCACTGCAAGCTCCGCCTCCCGGGTTCACGCCATTCTCCTGCCTCAGCCTCCTGAGTAGCTGGGACTACAGGCGCCCGCCACCTCGCCCGGCTAGTTTTTTGTATTTTTTAGTAGAGACGGGGTTTCACCGTGTCAGCCAGGATGGTCTCGATCTCCTGACCTCGTGATCCGCCCGTCTCGGCCTCCCAAAGTGCTGGGATTACAGGCTTGAGCCACCGCGCCCGGCCAGGACTTTAACATATGAATTTTAAGAGGACACAAGCCAACCCGTAACAGTAACTTTGTCCCTCTCTCTCTTTTAACACAATAATGACCCTATGCAGGGACATTTCTAGGTGTCTACTGTCTGTGTGTGGTAGGGGGACTTCTAGTACTGTTTTGGATTAATGTTG